CAGATGACACAATCTTGCTTTCGGAAAGCAAAGAGGACTTAAAATACTTACTTATGAAGTTCAAAGACTAGAGCTGTCAATATGGGTTACATATCAATGTACAGAAAACAAAAATCTTCATAATTTGATCAACAAATTACATTATGATAAATGGAGAAAAGATTGAAATTGTCAAAGACTTCATTTTGCTTGGATCCACAATCAGCACTCATGGAAGAAGCAGTCAGAAAATCTGATGCGAAAGACCTTTCTAAAGTGTTAAAGAGCAAAGATTTCAGTTTGAGGACTAAGGTGCATCTGACCTTAGTATTATTAAATTATTAAAATTAAATCATTAAAATACCTATGGTATTTTTTAATCGCATCATATGCATGTGAAAGTTGGACAGCGAATAATGAAGACCACAGAAGAATCTATGCGTTTAAATTACGGTGTTAGGGAAGAATATTAAAAGTACCATGGGTTAGCAGAAGAACAAGCAAATCTATCTTGGAAGAAGTACAACCAAAATGCTGCTTAGAAATGAGACTGGGAGACTTTGTCTCTCTTATACTTTGGATATGTTCTTAGAAAAGATGAGTCCCTGGAGAAGGCCATCACATTTGCTAAAGTGGAGGAGGGTAAGCAAAAGAAGAGGGAGACCCCCCCAACGAGATGGATTGACATAGTGGCATCAACAATGTGCTCAAATATAACACTTGTGGACATGGTGAAGGACTGGGAAGTGTTTCATTCTGTAGCACATGGGTTGCTATGAATTGGAACTGATTCTAGAGTACATTACAAAAACAATAAAACATAATGAAACATTTGGCTACTCCTCCGACCTCCACTTCAATCCTTTGCCCAGCAAATAGAGCTTCCAAATCTAAAATATTCAAGTAAAATTGCAACTAACCTTTATATATGCACTTGGGTAGATCTTATGAACAGCATCTCCAGGTGCACGTCCGGCTTCTCTGTCTAAGTAGTAACTCTGTACAAAGACCGCATGGTCACTAAGGCACCTGACCCAAACATCACCTTCACCTTTGCATTCCAACTGCACACCTTTGCCGATGTGCAACCTGGGGGGGGGAGATGGAATTACATTGCAATTGTTAAGTATTTAAAAATAATTTTTAGTTCAAATTATATAACATGCCAATATTAAGATACTAAAAAGAACAAAGAAAAGACATCACATAATACCAATAACAAAAAAGACAGGCATTTTTTAGCATTTTAGTATATTTCTTTGTGGTGCTGTAGGATAAGCACTGGGCTACTTACTAACTGCAAGATGAGTGGTTCAAACCCACCAGCCACTCCTTCGAAACCCTATACAGGGTCGCTATATATTGGAACTGACTCGGCAGCACTTAACAACATGATCATACAAAGCAGTTTTTGCTATATGTCAGGAGCATTTAACATGATTCTTACTTAACCCTTACAACTCAAAGTATGTGCCAATAATCCCATTTTACAGATGCAGAAACTGTGGCTTAAAACGATACTGTCCAAATCAATATTCAAAGCCACAGGTGACTATTTAAACTGAAGTTCTATTAGAGAACATGGGCTTAGAGATTAAGCAATTTGCCAAAGCCACGCAGTTTATGAAAGAGTCAAGATTACCTGCTTTTACACATAACACACACACACATTTCCTTAAGGAGTTAAAATAATACAGCATCTAAAATGATGTCTGTTTTCCTGTAATATGTCATCATAAGCACTTTCATTACATTATATAAACTTTTTACTAGTATTTTTTTATTACATTTTAAAAATGAAACAGTTTATCACATATACTCAACCATTCTTTGCATAAGGAGTCTGCTGGTGTTGTAGGATAGGTATCAGACTGCTAACTACAAGGTTAATAGTTCAAACCCACCAGCTGCTCCACGAGGAAAAAAAATGAGGTTTTCTGCTTCCGTAAAGGTCTGTTGTTGTTGCTGCTGTTATGTGCCGTGGAGTCTGTTCTGACCCATAGCGGCCCTGCACAGGGTTTCCAAGGCTGTAAATCTACGGGAGCAGAAAGCCTCATCTTTCTCCCATGGAACAGCTGGTATTTTCGAACTGCTGACCCTGAAGTTAGCAGCCCGATTCGTAATCACTATGCTACCAGAGCGCCATAAAGTTTTGCAGCCCGGAAAACCCTACACATGGTCACTATAAATTGGAATCAACTATATGGCAGGGAGTTTGGTTTTTTGAGGGAGCACAAAAGGTTGATTGTTCAAATACATACAGAAGCAAGGCCTGGTGACCTGCTTCTGAAAAGCCACAGCCTTGAGAAGCCTGTGCAGCAGGTTTTCGTTCTACTCAGTACACATGGGGCTGCTCTGACTCAAAGCCGACTCAATAGCAAGTAGTTTGGTTTGCCTTTGACCTGTTTTACTATCAATTTCCAATATTATAAAAAACACTGAGAAACACCTTTGTGAATCTGGCCTCATTTTGTATTATTTCCCCTACAAATTACATTTGTACAGCTAACATGAGATCAGAGGATATTAGTTTCTAAACTAGATTCCAAAAAAAAATTCAGTTACTTTTTCAAAATACAGAAACCTCACTTACTTTAAAAGAAATTTTTAAAAAGCCATTGTTAATACTACATTTTAAATAAGAAACATCTAATTAAAATAGAATGCTCACACATTCTGAATTTTCAATGTGGTCTTTATCCCTCCATTTATATTCAAGAGCTCATCAAAAAGCATGATTGCAAATCAAAAGTAATGTACTATGCCAAATTTTTAAAAGTAACCATGTAACAGTAGTACAGTCAATACCTTGCTCTCTCAATGGCTTCTGTTCTGTGAACATTGGAGAGTTGGCCCAAGCAAAAGCGATCTCCTCCAGAAGGGTCCACGTATCCATCAACAGTAACAATAGGGCAGCTTGAAGGAACCTTAAATGTCTCTCCTACCTGAACATCCATTTCAAAGTAAGCAATGGAACACCAGTACTCAGGAGCTATGGGAGACAAAGAGGAAAGACATTCACCAGTGTGAGAAAGCTTTCATTTTTCAGTAAACTGTTCTTAAAAGAAAGGGGGGCAGATGGGGAGAGGACTCTGAAAAGTACTCAGTGGAATGAGATGAAAATGGTGCAAGCATTAAAGCAGAAATGGCTTCTGTTTTCCAGCTCAGTACCTAGCATTATTTTTGAAACACTAAAATATATCTTTTTAACTTTTTATTGTGAATTGAGTGATAGTTTACATGAGAGAACATCGGTTTTACACTCATTCTATCGTATTTCGTTTCATTGCAATGATTACAAGCCCCTCCCTGCATCATAATTCAACAGTATAGTATTTGCTTCTATTTCCATTTCCTCTTTTTTGTTGTTTTGTTTTGTTTTGTTTTGGGGGGGGGAGATGTACACAAAAACACTCAGGAATATATAATCATTTAACCAAAGGGCACATTCTGCAAGCCTGCCTCCTAGCCGCCAGCACACAGTCTCTCTTTCCATGAGTCTAGAGTCCTCAGCTGCTCTCTCTCTCCATGACCTCATCTCTGCCTCCATCTCTGGTGTCACTGCTTCCCTGGATAGGGTCCTGCATTCCGCTCATGCTCTTCTCCCTTGATGGTCCTAGGGTCTTCTGTTCCTGGAATGTAAGATTAACTACTCCCCCCCTTTTTGTTATAAAACTTCTACCTTTACAGTTGTGACAGTCACAATTAGTCATGATACAATTACTACTGAATCGTAAGAATCTTATCTTGATCTCCTTTCACCTGTCAAGACAAGATGAAAACTATTAAGTGAGGATTCTACCTTCCCCTGCACACACTCAGATTCATCAAATTGTAGCAACTTACAGTTGTTTCCTTTATCAAATTTCTTTATCTTCCTCTACTCGAGATCTGATCATCAAACCATGGAGGCTAGGTCAAATGGATACTATCTGCAAGTCTGGGTGTGCTTGTGCATCTCCCCTCACTTCCTATCAGCAGGCCACTTCACTCTCAGCTCTAGCCCTCTGTGGCTATGTCCTTGTCTATGGGCCCAGGAGTTCCCAGGTCTCACCATACTTGGGGCCCTTCCTCTTCTCTCTCTCATCTCCAGGTCGATGGAAGTCTATGGAATGTGATGAAACCCATATCTTCATTGCTGCCTTTCCCCTCTTCCACTCATGTGGTACACCAATGTGGTCACCAGCAAGCTTACATGCCTGCTCCTGTATTCCCTTTGAGTTGTAGTCTTGGAAGGGAGTTTGTCCTGAAGGAATTTGATTGCTTGCCCTGATGGCTCCCTGGCAAACAACTTGCTTGTTCTTGTAGCAGCCAATCGACTGCCATTATTGTTTCTGATTTTCCTGCTGGTCTTTCTTTCAAGAAGTATCTTCTGTTCCTCGAGTTGCTCCAGGCTGGTCTGCTTGTCCTTTCAAGTGGGAATGTCCCACCTCAGAAGATTCCTGATGGGGTTTCAGAATTCCACCTAAGATCTTATATACTACAAGGTTCATAAGAAGTCTATTTCAGTGGGCAAAGTCTGGCCCCTTTTAGGTATTCCTAAAATCTTTTTTTTAATGTTTTACTGTGAATTATGTGATAGTTTACATGGTAGAACATTAGTTTTACATTCATCCTATCTTAGATCATTTCACTGCCATGCTTACAATCCCCAGCATGCATCATCACCCAACCACAGGGTATACCTTGCAATCCAGCCCCCACCCCCAGTTTTCAGCACACAGCTCCTCTCCCTCACTGGGTCTAAAGTCCCCAACAGCTCCATCTCGCCACATCATCGTCTCTGCCTCCATCACTCCCCTGCTACAAAATGTCTCCCTTTACATTTCCAATCCTCACAATCAGTCCTGATAAAAATTATTCACTATTATATCACAAGAGACCTATCCACATTTCCTTTCATCAGCCCTGCCTAGACAGATTAGATACTACTCAGTAGAGATTCTACCTTCCTCCACACCCTCTGGATCTAGGTTCCTTCTTGAAAGTTTGTTAGCCAGTCACTTCTTGCCTTTGAAGCCCCCCTCCATTTTGGGTAGCCAATGTCCAAGTTGCCCATCCCTGTCTACTCTGTGTATGGAGGGGGTGGGAATGATCCTCTCTGTAAAGATTTGTTCCCTCTTTTGAGCTACTGCATCCATAGGTGCAGGTCAAGTTCATCAAATTGTATTACTCATTTTTTCCCTCTTCTTTCTTCTTCTAGTTGAGCTCTGATCATCCAGTCACTGCAGCCAAGTTAAGTGGGTATTATCGACAAGTGTGGGTGTTCTTGTGCACATGTCCTCTGTTCTTATCAGCTGGATGTTTCACTCTCCACTCTAGTCCTCTGTGGCTATGTCGCTGACTCTGGACCCAAGAGTCCCCAGGTCTTGCAACACTGCTAGCCAACCAGGTCTCCACCCAGGTTCACAGGTGTCTATTGAACATTGTAGGGCTTAGCTTACAGCTTCACTGCTGTTTTTCCCTCACTTCCCCTTATTGGTGACAAACGTGGCCTAAAATAATTTTTAAAAATCTAAAATTTGATTTTTACTGCAAAGGGCCAAATCAGCAGAGAATTTAAAGACTGGAAATGGAATCTTAAATAAATTACCATGATGTTTTATTTGACTACATATAATATTTTCTGTGTAGTCTGAACATTACTCTTTAAAACATACTGAAGTATTCCAGGGTACATATTCTTATAGCACATCAATATGTGGTATATTTTTATGGGTCCCTACTTGAGAGAAGGAGTCCTGGTGAGCTGCTGTAGGAGAAGCACTGTACTGCTAAGTACAAGATTGGCAGTTCAAACCCACCAGCCACTCCTCAGAAACCCTATACAGGGTCACTAAGAGTTTGAACAGATTCCATGGCACTAAACAGCAAGTTGAGAGAAGGAGCATGGTGGTTCTTTAGGATAAACACTGAACTGTGAACTAAAAGGTCGGCAGTATGAGCCACCAGCCACTGCATGGGAGACAGTTGAGTCTTTTGGCTCCTGCAAAGATTTATAGCCTCAGAAACCCCTATATAGGGTTGCTATAAGTCAGTACCGAATCAACAGCACATAGCAACAACTTGAGGGAAAAGACACAAGCAAGTAAGCCATCCAAGCCTGAGTCAAGAACACTCAACAACTCAGTTGGTGTGCATAGGGGCTCTCATTTTATCTCTTGGGAGAAAAGTCATTTGTCCCACCTGTATACGTGCCAAATCAATAGCTATTTTAATGAAGTCTATTTACATCAACTCCTATAATTTTTGCCTGGTAAAGTGGAGGGTCAGCAAAAAAGAAGACGACCTCCAACGAGATTGAGCGGCAACAGCAATGGACTTAAGCTTAGTAACAATTGTGAGGTTGGTGCAGGACAAGGCAAAGTTTCATTCTGTTGTGCACAGGGACACTATCAGTCGGAACCAACTTTGACAGCATCTAACAACAACTACAATTTTACCTTGAAAATTTAGAGTATTCATTTTAACAAGGGATTCAAAATAATTTTCAATGATTGGGGAATTTGCCACATTAAGGACAGGGGTATGTGGTAGCTAGCACCCAAGATTGCCTTGTGATAGTCACATCCTTGTGGGTAGTTCCTGCCCCAGCACCCCCCCACATTGAATAATATGATGGAGGAATGATGTGATTTCCAAGGCTAGGTCTTAAGACACTGAGGCTTCTATATGCACACATACATAGAGACACACACACACAGCTCTCTCTCCCTCTGGGAAATCCAGCTGCCGTGTTGTACAAGAACTTAAGTAGCTCCACGAAGAGGTCCATATGGAAAGCAGCTGAAGCTCCCCATAAGGTGAGGGTTGGGGTGTGTCATGGAGTCGGTTCCAACTCACAGTGACCCTGTAGAGGGTTTCCAAGGCTGTAAATGTTTACGGGAACAGAAAGTCTCATCTTTCTCCCACAGAACAGCTGGTAGTTTCGAACTGCTGCCCTTGCACAATGTAGGTGACACTAACTGAAAATGAATCCCCAGCAGTTCCAGCAGACTTTTTTACTGCAACCTCAGAAGAGACCTTAACCCAGATGCACCCAGCTGAGCCTCTCCCAGGTCCAGGACCCACGAAAACGAAGCGAAACAATGAATGGTTATTGTTGTACTTGGACTCCGGATGTGGTGCCGTAGAATCAGCACTGGGCTTCAAACCCCAGATCCACCAGCTGCTATACAGGGTTGCTATGATTTGGAACTGACGGCACTTCACAACACCAATAATGATTGTACTTAACAACAACTGTTGTAACCTACATATTGTGATAATCTGTTGCAGAGCAACAGGTTAACTAATCTAGTCAAATCTGCTATGTACCGAGAGCAGCATGTGCACAAGAAGCACAGAGGGTGACAGAGATGAGCAAGCACAGCTGAGGAGTTCAGGACAGTTAAAGCACTAAGGGAAGAACAAGAAATGAGACTGGAGAAGTAAGGGAGGAATAATTTTTTTACCCTGCTAAGGAATTCAGATTTTATGCTCTAGTCAAACTGTAAATTGAGGGAAGCTTAGCTATTTACATTTGAACATAATTTAATCTAATAGTTAAATTAATGCCAATTAGCCAGAGATTCTGGGATCTCTCTTCTAAGATCAGTCCTAGAAATTTTTTCTTTTAGCATCTACTTAAATTTCTTCTTTTGCTTTTTAAGCTACAATTTTATAGCTGTTATATTTTGAAAACTAGCTTTCTTTTGTTATAAACGTTGTTGTTAAGCATTGTCAAGTTCCAACCCATAGCGACACTGTAGAGGCTTTCTGAGGAGTAGGCTGGTGAGCTTGAACCACCAACCTTGTAGTCCAAACCCCAGCGCATTAACCCACAGCGCCACACCAGGACTCGGTACATTTATGTAGTCAATGCTTAAAACAAAATTGTACTACTTTTTATTTTACCTGAAACACTGTTGTCTTTTCTTTTGGACACAGCTAAAAATGAATCAAACATTGACAGTCCATTTATGACTTTATGAGCTACTCTTAAAACTGTTAACTCATGTCATAATAAAAGTATTCTATTTCCATGAAAAGTTAAGGGAGCCTATAATTATGCTAAAACCTGTATGTATATACCTGTGTCAATTACCATAAAGAAAATCTAAATAATTTGACCATGACCGGGATTTTAAACTTACCAGGATGATTGGAAATGGGAGGCTGGAATGCAAGCTCATTGTGAACTGGCCCTAAAGAAAAAACAAGAAAAATCCCATTTTTATTTATTAAAAGTTTTCCAATGCTAAAACCTTACTTAAATATACCCATCATACCTTAGGAGTTGTTTAGATCAAGTTTACAAATAAGAACTTAACAGCTTAGATTGTTTTATGATTAAAATAAGCAAATACTCTTGTATAATATTTTTGTAGGTATTTAATTACAATAACATTTCAGTGCTATGTAAGGTACTGTTAATCAGTTTACAAATAGTTTTACATGCAGTATTTAATGCAGATTATAAAGAAATTAATACAGTGTAATTTTTAATGCAAGGTATAATAGCAATTCAAATTGTTGGTTTCAGTCTAAAAACAAATGTTTATAATCTGTTAAATTAAGACTATTTCTATACTAGAACAATAGCTAGAGAATTTTACATGTTAAGACACTCTGCTAAACACTTCACATGAATTATGACACTTACTTCCCACAATACCTTGAGGTAGATATTATCATTACTAGTCTTGAGGCTTAGGGAGGCTGAAAAGCTTGTCAATGGTCACACAGTTTGTTAAGACTACAAATCCCACACCCTTAACTACTATGTTGTTCCAGGCAACCATAAAAATTATATGAAGGGAAGTAAAAAAGTTGGTGGAAAATTCCATTATCTATTAAGTTCATTTTTCCATGAACTTTTTGAAGTCCTCTTGTATTCTCTTAAGACATGAAAACACAGTAGCATAACTGGAAAAAAGGCAGATGCACACACACACATATAGGAGGGAGCTATAAAAAGTTTGTGGAAAAACGAAAGATAATGGATTTTGTCCAGAAACTTTGTGAAACCTTCTCGTATAACATGATTCCCACCTTTCCACAATACCCAATTTAAATGACTGGAAGGAAAAACATGGCAAAACACTACAAGTGAAAATCTCTGGGTGGTAGGATTCTAAGTCATATTTGTTTCTGTGCACACTTTTCTGTATTTTATACTTTTCTTTGGTGATGTCAGTCTTCTAATGAGGAGGCAGACGTAATATATATATATATATGAAAGTGTTAGACTCTTGATTGTATTAAGCCAACGAACAACAATCCCCCTTTATCTGAAGCTACAGGCTGTGGTTATCAGTAGGGGACTGTTCTCAATCATGCTTGAACAGATTATCAACAGACTCAACATCCTTGTGTCTAGCATATGCTAAATGCTATGATGAAGGAGACCTAGCGATCTTGGCACTGAAAGAGTTTCAAATCACTAAGGGTGGATATACAAGATACTATGGGATCGAAGAACATATACAAAGCAAACAAACAAATGAATGGAAATCAATGTGATGTTAATGAAACATTAGCAACAGTGAAATAAATGTAGTAAGTAAATATCACTCTTCTAAAACAAAGCTATGAAACCACAACTATGAGAAGAAAAAAAAACAGAAAGAAAAGTACTAATGGTTTAATGGAACCAAATTGTAGGATGAACAAAAGATGTAAAAACAGTTTTATAAAAAGAAAGAAAGAAAAAAAAAAAGTCCTTGAAAAGAAAAAGCCCTTACAACAAAAACAAGAGCTTACAGTAATGTCCGGGATGGGGCGGCATAGGCGGGTGGTGCTGAAGATGGCCGTTTTGGTGGTGAGGCAAATTAGGTGTGTATGGTGCGGTTCTACTTCCAGTCCAGGTGGTAGTGCTGTCTAAAAATTAAGGCCCACATGGATTAATTTGCTTTTAAAAGGCTGCCTATTTTTCTCAGCTATTTAAAAGATTGTAAAAAGCATGTACATACTATGATGGTAAGTAGCTGGCTGACCAGTAAATCCATTCTGCTGCTGTCCTGGCTGAGGCCCTGAAGCTATCTGCAACAGTCCTTCACTATGGCTGCCTGCCAGTATACTGGCCGGCTGACCTAGAGGAACAAGAAGACATTAATATGGTACACTTACAGTTGCAATCCTATGCTTTCACCTATGGACAAACCTTAACTTGAAGAAATTTAAAATGATGTTATCTTACATTATGTCTATCTCATTATAGTGGCCTATTTCTTTATAGTCTTCAAACGCTAGCAATCTCTTACTATCTGCCCTACCATAACCACTTCTTCAGAATCATTCTGGCTCACTTCTGGCCACTATCCACCTCTTGATCTTTCTGATTAAGATCCCAAAAGTCCAGATTCAAGAAAATACTGAAAACTGGAAAGCTGATAATTCTCTGCACCAGTACTGGTAATGGCATAACGCTAAAACTTGGGAAAACGAAAACTGAGCAGGCAAATACTTACAATGAGATGTTATGTGGAAGGTGAGTAATATGCTATCAATATGGCATCTGCTAATAAAAAATCAAATAAAACCCAAAATCTCACTCATCATTCTGCTTTGTAATGTTTTCAATTATCTTTAAAAACTAAGAATCACATCCTTTTTACAATACCACTCTACTCCTGAACTTGAAAACAAAAAAAATTAGGTGACCTCTCTGCAAGAAATAATCAAGCCCATTGGAAAACACTGAAATTTACTATTTTGTACCTCACTGTTATGTTACTGGCATAACCGTATTCTTTACTCATCTGAATGGGAATACAATCAGATGGAAGAGCAAATGACAACACTGTTCTAAGTATCAAGGAAATGGAACCATTTTTCTCCTCTACTTACATTTGTAAATGTGAAATCAAAAGTTTAAAAGAATTATTTCAATAACCCCCAAACTAACTCAATTTTAAAGATGATATCTTAGCAATCTCCCATTCTACTAAATTCCCCCCAAATTTGAAAAGAATCTTTAAAGGTTAATTATAGTTCTGCCTTTGTTTTTACTAATTGTACATGCTGCATACTATTAACTTACAAAAAAATTGTCACTACATAGGAAAATTTAAATGATTTTAATTTACTGATAGAAGGTGGCTTCAAAATTTTTTTGGAAAAATTCAATTATCTTTTGTGGTGTGTTGAATTATTTAATATAGCTGAGAGAGTATGTGTAGAGGCCAGCTGGTCTTAAAGTGCAGGGAGGTTTGTGTGGACTCCCAAGCCTGCAGTTGTTAGCTAGGAAGACAAGGGTTGAATTAAACAAAAACTTACCTAATGAAGAAAAAGATGTATGATATTGAGGTACTATAAACTGCTGCAGTTTTGATGGCTTGCTTTTGTACTGGATTTTGTTTATGGATGCAGATGCTCAAAATTTCAAACAGAATGGAAGACTCTTCACACTAAAGAACATACTTGTCTCCTCAAATACTGGGTTGATAGAGACAGGCAAGTTAGAAATTGGATATCTAAAATGGGGGCAGATAAAGGCATGAAGTGGCTGGTATACAAGCTTTCATGGGTGTGTTGTTGTTGTTGTTAAGTGCCATCGAGTCAGTTCCGACCCATAGCGACCCTGTACAGGGTTTCCGAGGGTGTAAATCCTTACGGGAGTAGAAAGCCTCATCTTTCTCCCATGAAGCGGCTGGTAGTTTCGAACCGCTGACCTTAAGGTTCGCAGCCCGATTCGTAACCACTACACTACCAGAGCTCATGGGTGTACTCAGTTAAAATGATTATTGTGGGAAAGTTAATCCTGAATGTATGAAAGAAACAGTGACCAGAAGAGTCAGGGGGCAGCCTGTAGTGTAGTGAATTATTTAATGTCTCTCCTAGTGTTAGTCTTTGTAACTCCCACCAAATGACTCTTTTCCTAATGGGTCTGCATGCGAATGGAAGAAGATACTGATAGGATGACATGATTCAGCTGTGGATGTCAAGAGAGTTAACTGTAATTGTAAAAACTTGGAACTCTTGCATGGATATAAAACATGCCATCTCAGAAGCAGGAGCGGGGGGTATCTCGCTGCCATCAAAGAAGAGTCAGAAGTGGAGCATGTCCTTTGGACCCAGAGATACCTGTGCATTGAACCTCTTTGCTCCAGGCACAGAAGGTTGTGATGCTGGATGCATGGCAGAGGAGCAGCAGCAGCAGAATCAAGAATCAAAGCAGGAGACATAGCAGTGGGCTGCCCAACCCACGAAGCAAGTACAGCGGAGTGACTCTGGGCAGAAGGCTTCCTTATGGAATGAAATGCCTCACGGATGTTTGTGTATGTGTGTGTCACTAGGTTTGCTGACCCATGGAGCCAGAGCCAAGAGACTTTGGTGAGGCTTATGGTGGAGTGGTGTGTCATGTGAGCATTTATCAGCACTCTAAAAGTCCTTTGTAACATTGGTCAGGCAGAGAGAGGCTTGCCCATGGGCAAGGCTGAGGAGAGGTTGTCCTAACTGCAACAACTGTGACCCGAGTATTTTCTGAACCTACACTGTAACCTGTTAATTTTCCTAATAACCTCATAACTGTGATCACGGTTGTCTTGAGTTCTGTGTGGTCACTGGAATGAATTATTGATACACCAGCTAAGTAGAGAGGGTTGTGGGAGGAATGGTTGGTCCAGTTTTTTGCAACTTCTAATTGCATTTTTCCACAAGTTTTTTGAAGCCCACTCATAATTAGAAAGAAACCCTGAAGATATTTCGATGCCAAATGAACCTAAACTGAGAGAACTAGTTCTCTGCACAGAACGCTTCCAGGACTCAATCCCAGGTGCTAAGTTGAAGTTAAACACAACTCACATAGCAGTCTTCCAATTCCTCTTTTTCAGTCCAACTTCTTTTCTTTAATTCTATCAGTACACTTCTTGAGATCAAAAGGCACATTTTGCCACAAGTTCTAAGATTCCCAGTGTTTACTAAATTGTGAAAATCTATCCAAAAAATACCAAGTCGAAATCAGCTGCATTTCACTTACATCAATTTTTCTGATCCTCAGGAAAGAACCACTAAAATGAGGCCATGTTAGCATGCATCCACAAACCTAAAAAAGCCTAAACCCATTGCTCTCAAGTCGATTCCAACTCCTATTGACCCTAAAGGGGAGTAGAATTGCTCCATAGGGTTTCCAAGGCTGTTAATCTTTATGGAAGAGATTGTCTCATCTTTCTCTCTCGAAGCAGCTGGTGGGTTCAAACTCTTGACCATTCGGCTAGCAGCTCAACACTTAATCCACTGTGCCTCCTTACACATCAACAAGGGCATGCAAATTCAATCTCCAGATACATAAACAAAGGCAAGTAGCTCCACTCGAGCACATGCATCTTCTTGTATCCATCATGTCAAACTCTGTCAACCATATTCCCATTGGTAAAGCGTAGAAAGAAATCAGAAGGACCAACTGGTTCTAAAGTATGCCCTTAGTCTGCATCATCCACTTAGATTATGTTCTCCACGATGAGAATGGCATCTCTTATGCAAATCCCAAAAGACACTGCTTTGGATGGAGAAATGAAGTAAATAAGGGGAAATCTGGTACGTTTTGTTTGAAAACTCACAATTAGGGAAATTGGTTAAGTGTCGTGGAATCTGTTCCAACTCACAGTGACCCTGCAAAGGGTTTCCGATGAGTGGCTGGGAGTTTGAACCACCGACCTTGTGGTTAGGAGTCTAGTGCTTATCCTACAGTGCCACACCAAGACTCCTATTTATTCCAAAATAAATAACAAGCAAAATTCTTGTTAAATCTGATATTAAAATAGAATGTTTCTTTTGATAGCAAGTTTAGATACAACTCCCATAACCAGCTGCAACCAACACCATACCGCAGGCCAAGACATTGCTCTGTGCTCTCCACTATAAGCAGCATACTGTTTTCTTGCCACTAACTCAATCTTCAGTGGCTATAACAAAAAGTAAACACTAACAGAACCAGGCCATTGCTGCACTGATCAGGCCCCAAGCAAAGCAGAGCCTGATAGCCCTCTCCCTGCACATGACTGAGAAGCCTGTTGAAACAGACTTCTCATTTAGCACAGTCAGAGATGTAGACTTCAGCTATTTATCCAAATGGGCTAAAAAAAAACCAAAAAACAACCTTTGTTCAATGTTACTTTTGTTAATTAAATAGTTCTTTAAAATACATCTGAAAGCTCAAGAGGCTTCTGACTCCTACATGTATTAAGGATACATAAATGAATTTAAATTAATACTATAATCAATGTCCTTAAATTCCAAACCATAGGCCAGTATAAGAATCTTTAAGTAAATTATAACCACCATTTTTTTACAGGACTAATTTAATCTTTCCAAATCCTATTTAATACTTATTTGCATATGAAGGCTACCAGTGCTCTTTTACTTATCTGATGCTTCCCTCCAAGTAACTACATATAAATATTTAACGGTTAGGGAAATGTAACTTGCTGACTATGTCTGACTCTCCAACTCACTTGTGGAAGCCACAGGAATGTTGGGAAAGTTGGTGGTGCTGGTAGCATTAGACTCAGCTGGGGCTAACAGAGCTGGAGTGCTGTATGTCTCCGTCGACGCACGATTACTTGGTGGATGTTGGATGGTTTGAATTGAATGTCCTTCAGTGGATAGCGACGGCTGTCCTTCAAAGTCATGAACATATTCGTCCTTCACCAACATACTTGGTGGAGCTATACAGAAAATTAAAATACATTGAAAAATCTTACCAGCCTCTATTTCCCAGGGAAGGGGAGAGGAGGGATTTTTAAAGCAAACAGCAAAACATCACCTAAAATCAATGGCAGTAAAAAACTGACCGTAATTCTAATTCAGATTGTTTTTTTTTTTTTTTTCAGAATAATATTCTTTTAAAAGCATACAATTTTATAAGCAAGAGTCATTTATTTGGAGGTAGTGGCATCAGCTATATCTGATCAATCAATCAGACTGATTCCTTGAAGTCTAAAGCCAGACCAGTTTCTAACAGTCTCCAGCAATGACCCTGAAGAGGTATTTCTTGGTCTCTTGATTAAACTGGAACAATCACTTTTAAAACATAACATGAGGTAGGCAAAAACCAAATGGCTGGAGAAGATATTCATCCAGTTAAAAAATACTGAGTCCATAACTGTGATTAAGTACTGAACTATATCTTTTTGACTCATCTCACGCTGTGGAGACTTGGGTAGAACCAGATAGGTATAAAATTCTAAGATCTAGAATTTTAAGTAGCATATTCTTTGAAAATGCAATGTACTGGATGTCTCCTAGACAGTCCGCATTCTAAATGATAGGTCAAATCGAAATTTCCTTCTGGAAGCCCACACCAAATAAGCTTGATAAATATGCCATGAAAAAAAACCTTCACTAATCAACATCTTTCATTTATGTGGGCACATCTTAATCAGAAAAGGCAGACTCTAACTAACACAGAACACCTTTCATTGACTACACTATTTTCATTGAATAAAATAGTTTCCTTAGTTATCAGAAGGAAGAAAAGAAAACCAAGTTAACTGCATGTCTACAACCTTCCCACTTGTTTTCGGGGGCTGTTATTTTAGGATTTGCTCTTTTTTTATCTTTGGCAAATAATCCCTTTATTGCTTCAATTAGCTATGCTGAACTAACCCTACTCCCAAAATTTTAAATCTGTATTACAATCAATTAATAGATAACAAAAAGACATTTTCTTTTCTATTAAAAACGAGTACTATGATTTTCCTGGAGTCCTGGTGTGGCACTATAGGAAAAGCACTGGGCTGTTAACCACAAGGTTGACAGTTCAAACCCACCAGTTGCTCCTTGGAAACCCTATACAGGGTTTCTATGAGTCAGAACTGACTTGACAGCATTTATCAACAATGATTCTCCTTATTACCTGTCAAATTTTGAGAAAAACCTATTACCCATAAACATCAACTAGTTACAATGCTATTTTTAACTTTCTATGATCAAAACTGTAAGAATTTTCATTATTCAAATTCCTGTGTTGTTTTTGTGCCGTCAAGTTGGTTTCTACTCACAGCAACCCTACGCACAGAGAAACACAGTGTCATCCTCCAATCGTTAGGCTGGGGCCCACTGTTGCTGCAACTGTGTGACTCCACCCCATTGGGGGTCTTCCTCTCTTTCACGGACCCTCCACTTTACCAAGCATGATGCCCTTCTACAGGGACTGGTAACATGTCCTGAAAACATGTCCAAAATGTCAGAGGAAACTTTGCTATCCTCATTTCTATGGCGCACTCTGGCTGACCTTCTTCCAAGGTAGATTTGCTTGGTCTTCTGGCAGTCCATGGTACCTTCTCAGTATTCTTCACCAACACCATAATTCAAATGCATCACATTTTCTAGTCTTCCTTACTCAGGATACAACTTTCACATGCAGATGATGCAACTGAAAACACCATGTTTTGGGTCAGGTGCACCTTAGTCCTCAAACTTACATCTTTGCTCATGAACACTTTAAAGAGATCTTTTGCAGAAGATTTGACTAATACAGTAAGTTGTTTGATTTCTAACAGCTGCTTCCATTGAACACTGGTGGATCCAAGCAAAATGAAGTCTTTGACAATTTTAGTCTTTTCCCCATTTATCATGATTTTATTTATTGGTCCAGTTGTGAGGACTTTTGTTTTCTTTACAGTGAGGAGCAATTCATACTAAAGGCTATAGTCATTGATCATCAGTATTTTCAAGTTCTCTTCATTTCCAGCAAGTAAAGTTGTATTACTATATATGGCAGGCTGTTAATAAGTCTTTCTTAACTTCTGATGATAATCCATCTTCTCATATTATTTGCTCAGCATACATATTGAATAAGTACGGTGAAGGACTATAACCCTGATGTACACCTCTCCTGATTTTAAACCACTCAGTATCCCCTTGTTCTGTTCAAACGACTGCCTCTTGGTCTACGTCCAGGTTCCTGACGAATTCCCATTCTTCTCAATGTTAACCATAGTTTGTTAGGTACAGCCTTTTAAAAAGCATTATGGTAGCATGCATCAAAATTCATATAGTTATAAAAAAGTCAAAAATATTCTTTTCAACTCCATAAATTTCTTTTACAGTTCCTCTCCATAAAATTTTATGGAAACAAAAACTGATACTAACATATCAGTAAAACATTGAACACAACCACCCATACTTATTGTTATTCAAATTATAAGAGCACAAAGAAACATTCTTTGGGGGATGAAGTGGTACAACTGCATATTAATGAGTCTTTTATTGTAACCTTTGATAAGTTCAGTGCTTTCCTCCATAAAGATCATGACATCCCTATTTAATTACTGGACATTTTAGGGTTTTCTGTTATTACAGTGACTGGGATCTTTGTACTCTCCAGTATATAGCTCTTGCCATACACAAGGAGAAAGCTACTGATTTGAGGTTATAACTTAGCAACTTGATACTCATTGCTTCTGTTTTCAGTTGACTATTTGAATTAATGGGAAATCATATTATCTCCTAACATTCTAACTGTATTCTGCTTTTAAATTAACTATGTCTCATATCTTTTTCCTGCTTTAATATAGGGCCTAACATGTCTAGCCACTTCATTCTAAGTTTCTTCTATCAAATAACATAAATACATGTTCATAGGTAAAACAACAAGCACAGACATCTGCAATGAGACCAAAAAGGCAGGTTATAAAATACTATTACATACTATTAACATATACATGTTTTACAACAATTACATACTGTAAATAAGAAGTCACTGACCAGAACAGAGTACACAGTAAGCCTTTTTTGCTCTTGGTATAAGAAAGGAGGGAAATGATTTTTAAAAACACCTGGAATGAAACACCTGAAACTTATCAAAGTCATTACCTGAGGTAGAGGCACATGGGGAGGGGAGAGGGCGTCTTTTATTGGACGCCTTTTACAGTATTCTGATTTGTGGACTATATAGTGCCTATTCAAAACAATAAAATAAAAAATAAAGCATTTATATTTAAAATCCAGAAAAACAGACATCAAATTATGAAATATTTCACTTTTTGGAGTGACATCTGACAAATTCATTAAAAATACACTGAACACTTATGTACTATTCTAGCACTGAAGAGATCGATAAACAAAACAAAGCTCACTGCCCTCAGGGAACTTACATTCTAGTGTTTAAATACACTGCGTATGCAGCACCCATCATTGTGGCTCCTTCACCCCAAGTACTGGATCGCTCCAGATCAGCAGGTTCTTCATCTGGTCACATGTGGGCAACCCCACCAACCATGTGGGAGTATTAAGAGAATAACATCATGGTACTTGTAAATCATGACCTATATATTCATTTTTAGTATCTAGTATAGTCGTTATGAATCGGGCTACAAACCACAAGGTCAGCAGTTTGAAACTACTAGCTGTTCCATGGGAGAAATATGAGGCTTTCTGTTCCCATAGAGATTTACAGCCTCAGAAACACTGTACAGGGTCGCGATGAGTCGGAACTGACTCCAAGACACATAACAACAACAACAACAACAATTCATACTGACCCTGTATAGGGTTTCCAAGGAAGGGCTTTTAGGCTTGAATCGCCAATGCTTCAGTCAGCAATCCAATGCTTATCCTGCAGGGTCACACCAGTACTCCACAATACCCAGTGATAATTAAAGCTCATTAAATACTAAAAATGAATTCATAGGTCATGATTACTACCAAGACATCCAACTCAAAAGTGAAGGCGTCCTCCCACTTATGAACTCTTAGTTACTGGCCTTGTATGTTTGTGTGTGCAAATCTAGAAGTAATGATGATGTTGTTGTTGTTGTTAAGTGCCGTCGAGTCGGTTCCGACCCATAGCGACCCTGTACAGGGTTTCCGAGGCTGTAAATCTTTACGGAAGCAGAAAGCCTCATCTTTCTCCTGTGGAGCAGCTGGTAGTTTCGAAGCCCGATTCATAACCACTACACTATCAGAGAAGTAATGATGAGAATACCTCATTTCCTGAGAAAATAAGCTATCAAAGATTGCCTGTCCATTAGCCATCACTAGAGGGAGCTATAAGGCAGAATATAGTGCCCCAGCCAATGTAAGTAGGCTATCATCCCATACAACCCGATCAATTAAACAGGTACCCAATCAACAGTAGTTTTAGGGAATGAAAGGAGTGTGCTGAGCCTTCATAATTTGGAGCCCCTTGTACCCAATCCATGAAAATTCTGATATAGTTATCACTACAGTCTCTCAACCCCTGACATTCATGGTCAATTCTCTAAATACATAGAGAATAGTAAAAATCTGAAAGGTATTTCATTTCATAGATGAGAAGCATGGTATATATAGCATTATCTATGTGGTGAAGGAGCAAGGTGTTGTTAACAAACCTTAGAACCGCCTTCCCAGACCACCACAACAGCTCCTATTACCAATCCACACTTCTCAGGAACCTACTGACAATTAACAAGTACCCAAAAGCTCCAGTCTTTCTATACTATGAGTGAGATGGAAGAAAGGTGAAAAGAAAAACCAACAGACCTGCATGATCTTACTTCCTAAATTTGTTACCATTAGATGTTTCTAACCTGCCTTCAAACATTACTATTCGACTACAAAAGAGATGTTCAGCCACTAATCTCCCTCCAGAAAAAAATGGTACAACTTTCTAAGATAACAATGGCTTTTTATGGTTTCTTGGCAAATTGATTAAATGTTCTTGCACATATTATAGTTTAATAACATGCTCTAAGTATCTGAGCTAAAATTTAAAACAACTCCAATCTCATATATTACAGTAAAAATTAAAACATATCATTTGTGTGTCATCTCCCCACTTTGACACTTTTGCGTTTTTAAAAAAACATGATTACATCAGCTAATCAGCATTATATTTTTAAGTAAACTTATTTAGATGTTTTGTTTACTCAAAATAAAACAAGGCTGAAAAATATTAACACACAATTTTAAACCAATATCAGCATTATCATTTATAGAAATATATATAAATATATATATTTTTTAATTCTGGAAATAAGAAAAAGCTAGAATACTGGTATTTTTAAAGGATCTGTTATATATGATTGTTGTTCTTAGGTGCTGTCCGTTGATAGCAATCCTAAGCCCAAAGGTCCTGTGCCAGCCTCCCAGTTGTTCCATTTGAGCCCACTGTTGCTGTCACTGTGTCAATTTACCTTGTTGCGGATCTTCCCTTTTTGACTGACCCTCCACTTTACCAGCATGAAGTCCTTCTACAGGGAGGACTAATTCCTCCAGACAACATATACATAGAACAAGAGACCCAATTTTGCCATTCTCACTCCTAAGGAGGATTCTGGCTCTACTTCTTTCAGGACAGATTTGCTTGTTTCACCAACACCACAATTCAAATGCATCAATTCTTCTAAGGTCTCCCTTATTCACTGTACAACTTTCTCATGCACGTAAGACAACTGAAAATACTAAGGGTTGGGTCAGGCACATCTTAGTTGTCAGTGACATCTTTGCTCTTGAAGACTTTAAAGAGGTCTTGTGCAACAAATCTGTCTAATGCAATGTTGTTGTTGTTGTTGTTAAGTGCCGTCGAGTCGGTTCCGACCCATAGCGACCCTGTACAGGGTTTCCAAGGGTGTAAATCTTTACGGGAGTAGAAAGTCTCATCTTTCTCCCACGGAGCGGCTGGTAGTTTCGAACCGCTGACCTTAAGGTTCGCAGTCTGATTCGTAACCACTACGCTACCAGAGCTCCTTTGATGTTCTTGACTGCTGTGTTTCCATGAGCACTGATTGTGGGTACAAGGAAAATGAAGTCTTTAGCAACTTCAGTCTTTTCTCCATTTATCATGATGTTATGTTTTCTTTACATGGAGGTGCAATCCATATTGAAGGCTGTAGTATTTGATTTTCATCAGCAAGTATTTTAAGTCCTCTTCACATCTAGCAAGCAAGATAGTGTCATCTGCATATTGCAAGTTGTTAATGAGTTCCTACGATCCTTATGTCACATTCTTCCCCATATAATCCAGCTTCTTGGATTATCTGCTCAGCATACAGACTGAATAAGTATGGTGAAAAGATACAACCCAGGCATACCTTTCCCGATTTTAAACCATTTAGTATCTCCTTGTTCTGTTCTTGGTTTATGTACAGGCTCCTCATACGCACAATAAAGTGTTCTGGAATATTCAATCTTCATAATGTCATCCACAGATTGTTATGCTCCACACAGTTGAATGTCTTTGCATAGTTAATAAAGCACCAGTAAACATCTTTCTGGTATTCTCTGCTTTCAGCCAAGATCCATCAGATGTCAGCAATGATAGCCCTAGTGCCACGTCCTCTTCTGAATCTGGCTTGAATTTCTGGCAGTTCCTTGTTGATGTACTACTGCAACCATTTTTTAATTACTTTCAGCAAAATTTTACTTTCATATGATATTAAGGATATTGTTTGGTGATTTCTGCATTCCACTGGGTCACCTTTATTGGAATGGGCACAAATGTGGATCACTTACAATCAGTTGGCTAGGTAGCTGCAAATTTCTTGGCACATATGAGTGAGCTCCTCCAAGGGCTGCACCAGTTTGTTGAAATATTTCAATTTGTGTTCCTTCAATTCCTAGAGACTTGTGTGTTGCCAATACCTTCACTGCAGATTGGACTTCTTCCTTCAATATCAACAGTCTTTGATCATATGTTACACCTCTTGAAATGGTTGAACATCAGTTAATTTTTTTTGGTAGTGAGTCTGTGTATTCTTTCCAGCTTTTAATGCTTATTGCATCACTCAATATTTTGCCCATAGACTCTTTAAATATTGCAACCTGAGGCTTGAATTTTCTCTTTAATTCTTTCAATCTGATAAATGCTAAGCATGTTTTCCCTTTTGGTTTTCTAACTACAAGTCTTTGCACATTTCATTAAAATACTTCCTTTTCTAAGCTGCCCCTTGAAATTTTCTGCTCAGCTTTTACTTCATCATTTCTTCCAGTTGCTTTAGCTTCTCAGTGTTCAAGAGCAAGTTTGAGCGTTTCTTCTGACATTCATTTTGGTCTTTTCTTTCTTTCCTTTTTAATGACTTTTTGCTTTCTTCCTGTATGATGCTATTGATGTTATCCCACAGCTCGTCTGGTCTTTGCTTATTAGTGTGTAATACATCAAATCTGTTCTTGAGATAGTTTCTAAATTCAGGTGGGATGTGCTTATGGTCATTATTTTAGCTCTCACGGACTTGTTTCCATTTTCTTCAGCTTCGGCCTAAACTTATATATGAGCAATTAATGGTCTATTCCATAGTTGGCTCCCGGCCTTACTTCGGCTGAAGATACTGAGCTTTCCCATTGTCTCTTCTCACAGATGTAGTGAATTTGATCCCTGCGTGTTCCATTTGATGAGGTCCACGTGTATAGGTGCCATGGTTGTTGCTATTGTTAAGTGCCATTGAGTCAGTTCTGACCCACAGCAACCCTGTATAGGGTTTCTGAGGAGCTGCTGGTGAGCTTGAACTGTCGACGTTGTGGTTCAAACCGACTATGCAATCCAGCTCATTAACCCACAGCGCCACACCAGAACTCCAGTATTTGTAAGGAAAAAAGCTGTTGGTCTTACGAGTTCTATCATTTGATTATCAGCATCACATCTATCACCGAGGCCGTATTTTCCAGCTATTGATGGCTCTTCTTTGTTTCCAACTTTGGCATTCCAATCTACACTATTTATCCATGTATCTTGACTGCATGTGTGATCAATTTCAGAATACAGAAACTGGTAGAATTATTAGAATAGGTGTATGGGTATTATTCTATCTCAGACAACACTGTACTTCTAGATAGTTCTTCAAATGCTTTTATTGATGATGAATGCAATATCATTCTTCAATCCTTGCATGATAAACAATGATTGTCGGATTCAAAATGGCCAATACCTGTCCATTTCAGCTCACTAATGCCTAGGTATCATCTTTATGCATTCCATTTTGACGACTTCCAATTTTCCTAGATTCATACTTTGAATATTCTATGTTCTGATTATTAATGGATGTCTGCAGTTGTTTCTTCTCATTTTGAGTTGTGTCCCATCAGCAAATGAAAGTCCCAAAAGCTTTGCTCCATTCATAGCACTAAGGTCAACTAAACTTTTAAAAGCAAGTTCTTCCCCAGTTGTATTTTGAGTACTTTCCAACCTGAGGGGATCATCTTCTGGCACTATAGCTAACAATGTTCTGCTTCTCTTTCCTCCTAGTCTGTCTTAGTCTGGAAGCTCTACTGAAACCTGTCCACCATAAGTGATCCTACTAGTATTTAAAATACCAGTGACATCACTTCTAGCATCACAGCAACACACAAGATACCACAGTATGACAAACTAACAGATGAGTGGTGGTATACACAATTAGAAATTACAAAGCATTATTACATATGACCTTGGAATCTAGTTCTGTAAGGTTTTCTTCCAAATAGCCAGTTGTTTGGAATTTATAAAATTCTTTTGTCATTTATTTTTTGATGTATTCTTCTATCATATTTTTCAGACTACTCTAGTTCTTAAAGTGCAGTCCAAATCCAAAGAGTCAACAAACAATTTAAATCCAGTTTTAAATGCTGGTCCATGCAGAAACAAAAACCAACCTACATTTCCAAAGCAGATATGTTTAACATCTTGTTAATATTACTAAGTACCTATACAAACTAATTCTAGGTCATCAACAACAACCAAAAAATCCAGAAGAAAGAGGATAAAAGCAAACAGAAAACATGAAGTTTACATGAAACAGATTACCTACCATTACTCTGCAGTGTTAATCCTGAGAGATCTTAATTTTTTAAAAGGGGAGAAAAATGAGACATTAGTCATTATCATGAAAATATGTTCCATTATATTTAAAGTAATAACATGTAAATTTAAAACATCGTGAACCATTTCAATACAAGATTAGTTGTAAAAATGCTACTTAACAATAAACTAACTACAGAAGCTATTTAATTCTATAAAGCTTTCCATTTTATTTTTCAAAAACAATGTTCTAAATGGGAAAAGATCAATTATATGTAATTAGTTTTAGCAGTCAAAATACAAGCTGGTTTCCAAGTTCAAATGTAAATATTTCTATTTAATTAAAAAACGATTCCTTAACTCTACTGGAAGTCCTGGGTTAAATCCAAATCTATCGTTTATTTTAGGAAACTTAACATACTATTGAGATCTTTTCTCTTTATGCTTCTAAGGATAAAGGCGAAGTCTACTTACCAATTCCAGGTGATACAACTCGTTCATAGTGATATGGATTCACACAGACACTATCACATTTTAAGTCAAATGCATACTGACAATATTTAACATGTTTCAGTTCATTTTTATGAAGATCAGGCCACCTCCAGAGACGAGCATAGATCACATGAGGAAATCCTTTCCGACCAGCCACCTAGGAGGAATTAGCAACCGTTTACTGAACATTAGTTATATGCCAAATGTTACACAAGACACTTGAATCTTCACAATCCAGGAAAGTCAGTAATAGAATCCCCACTTCCTACATGAGGAAACTAAAGCTCAAAATAACGTACTTTTCCATGATTGCAGAGCACTACAGACGAATTAGAACTGGAACTAAGATATACTTCCAAGACCTGTGCTTGTGGTTTACATTAGTAAGAAAGTATGGATTGGTTGCAGAAACGTGCCTGAAATCTAGAAGTAGAATATTTAATTCAACCACATAAAATTTTTCTAGTTTACTAAAAAATTAAGTACAGGATATCATTATATAGTTGTACATGAAAATGTGACCAGTGAAAATGGTGGCTAAAAACCATAAAATGCAAGCTTTTAACACCATGAGTTCTATACATATGCTTAGATTCTTTCAGAGTATTTTCATGTAACAAAAGTACTAAACATTTATCTAAATTATAAGAGGACCAAGTAGTAGCGATAATCAGAATTTTACTACATATACAGCATGATTATTTTTCAAATGTTCATACAATTGATTAAAAAAAAAAGGACTCCTAGAATGAATAACACTGTTAAAGGTAGTTCTCTCAGAGTATATATTTTCTCTCTTTTGCTTTGTATTTTTTTTTATATGAGAAGCCTTCAATAAGTTCATGGAAAAATGAACTGGAGATAAATGAATTTTCCCACAAACTTTTGGAAATCTCTCCTGATGTTTTTCAAATTTTTTACACTGAACTATTTTTGAGATCAGTACATTAAAAAACTATAAGGTCGCATTTATCCCACTTATATGAAAAAGGCATATATATAGAAGCCGTTTGTTAGTGGTTCCCAAGGGTGTGAGGAAAGGGGAAACAGTGTTAGTGCTAGGAGGACTGAGGTTCTCTTAATGGTGGTGGGCTCATTTGGAAAAGACAGTAGTGACAAGTGTACAATATGACAAACAAGCGATGTCACAGCAGTATACAGGCAAAAATAGTTGGATTGGCAAATGTTTTTTGTATAAATGTTTTTTGTATTTTTACCACATAAAAAATTAAACAAACAACAACAACAACAAAACCCCACTTTTAAGGTAGATCTCTAGTATGTAGAAGCCATTTTCTTCCATAGGTGCACTCCCCTGAATATTACTGTATACCCAGAGTGTGAAGAGTTGGAGCAAGGATTAAATTACAGAACCAGTGTCAATCTGCTACCACAGCAGACAGAGAGAAACTCTAAACACGGGACTAACCTGAAGTCTCCCATCCAGTGTCCTCTGTATGGTAACACATTTGCTAGGATGTGCTCCATTTGTAGTTATAGCTGTTATTAAAGAATCCAGTTCATCTTTTTTCTCCTTCAGCTTCTTTACCAAACTTTCGATTGCTCGTTTTGCAAATGTTTCACTCTCTCCACCTTGTCTATGGCACATCAAACTATGTACAATGCTCAGACAGGCATCATTACTTGTTGGTGTATTTGTAATAGACATATTGTCCATTTGCCAAAGTTATTTATTTTAAATCAAATATGCCTCCAGTTTCTGCAGCAATTTTGATCTTTTGGAGGCAGTGAAAAACAACAGTTAACGTTGCAAGGAAAATAGTTAGACATGTGGTATTCAAGATCACCTAAAAGAGAGAGAGAGAGAGAGAGACAGGTATTAGAATACATTTCACAAAGTAGATTTAATTAATTGGGAAAAGACAGAATTCCTCAGTTGTTGTTGTTAAATGCCATCAAATCAGTTCCAACCCATAGCAACCCTGTATAGGGTTTCTGAGGAGTGGCTGGTGAGCTTGAACTGTCAACTGTGAAATTCACACTGACTTTGCAGTTTAGCACACTAACCCACAGCATCACACTAGAACTCCAAATTCCTCAATAGGATTAGTCAAAAAGTCACTGTACATAACTAACTTTTGATGCTTTAGACCTTAAGCTGATTTATAATGTTGCTGTTTTTGTCAATCTAAAAAGTGTAAAGTTAGACCTTCTCAATATTATAGAGGCATGCTCAGTTAAAGCTTGGTGACTCCTAGAAGGTACCCTAAAAATAAAGTAAAATCTAACTATTTAGACTGTTTAAAAAGGATTGCTTTTGAAGACTAGAATTGTAAAGTACTCTTGATAAACTCGTAGCTAGTTAAAACTGAAAGACTGTCACTAACACACATGAAAAATTCATCACCACTTGGGTTTCAGATGCTGTTTAAAAGTTAACACCCATCTATGTTAAAAGAAACCACTAATATCAATACGATAACTCAATAATAAAATAGGAAACTCATCTGAAGAGACATTTCTCCAAAAAACACAAGAAAAGATGGTCAACATCATTAGTCACTGTTGTCACACCCATTAAGATATGAAAAAAAGCAAAGATAGTAATAATAAGTATTGGCAAGGATGTGGAAAAATTGGAAACTTCATACATTTCAGGTGCGATTGCAATACGGTTGCTGTGGCTGTTGAGAGTCGTTGAGTTGGTTCTGACCCATAGAGACCCTGTATATAGTTTCTAAGGAGCAACTGGTGAGTTTGAACCGTGGGCCTTGTGATTCAAACTGACCTTGCTGTCCAGCACATAATCCTGCAGTGCCACACTAGGTAAAGCCACGTTAAACATTCTGACACTTCTTCAAACTGTTAAATATAGATACCACATATGGGTTTACATTTAACTTTACTCAAAGAATTTGGTCTATGTCCTTGGTTCCTGAGAGATAGCCTCTGTCATAGATTGAACTGTGTCCCCCCAAAATATGTGTCAACTCGGCTAGGTGATGATTCTCACTGGTCTGGCAGTTATGTAATGATTCGTGATGTGAAAAACAAGTAAAAAGATTTGGGTGGGCTTTGCTATTGTTTAGTGCCTTACCCTTAATCCCATCACAACCTTGATAGATGTAAAGGAGTTTCCCAGGGCTGTGCCTGAAACATCTTTGATCTTACAAGAGATAAAGGAGAGAGAAGTGAGTAGAGAAAGAGGGACCTACTATCACCAAGGAAGAGCAGCCAGGAGTGGAGCGGGTCCCTACAGTGTGAAGCTCCTGATGCTCAAATGAGACAAGGATCTTTTCCCAGGAGCTGACACTCTGAATTTGGACTTCTAGCCTCCTAAACTGCATGAAAATATATTTGCTAAAGCAATCTAACTTGTGGTATTTCTTCTGCTATAGCACCACTAGATAACTAATTTGTTGTTGTCAAGTGCTACCAAGACTTTTTAAACTCATAGCAACCCTGTATAGGGTTTCCAAGGACCAGCTAGTGGGTTTGAACCACCAATCTTTGGGTGCTTATCCTACAGTGTCACACCAGGGCTCTAGCCTCAAAACCCTGGAATTTCCCCAGTGATTGCCGTGTCCTAGATGAAGCCTCCAGACCACACCTAAATCTTTCATTATTGAGGCTAGCTAGGTCAGAAAGACCACCTGTATATACCAGATGAGCTCACGGGAATTGAGCTAATTTAATCATAATGATGCCCTAACAAAGACTCATGTCATGGCGAAAGATACTAATGCACATAGACAGTTGTTGTTGTTAGGTACCCTTCACTTAGTTCTAACTTAGCACAACAGAACAAAACACTGACCGGTCCTGCAAAATCCATACAAATGTTTTTTGTTATGTTTGAGTCCACTGTTGTTGCCACTGTGTAAATCAATCTCGCTGAGGGTCTTCCTTTTTTTTGTTGACTCTCCACTTTATTAGGTATGATTTCCTTCTCCAGGGGCTGGTCCCTCCTGACAACATGTCCAAAGTACAAAGAGACAAGTCTTGCCATTTAAAGATCATTGTGGTTGTACTTCTTCAAACAGATTTGTCTGTTCTTCTGGCAGTCTGATGTAGGTCAACAAGATTCTCCTCTAGGCTTCCTTATGCATTGTCCAACCTTCATATGCATATGTGGTGATTGAAAATACCATAGCTTGGGACAGGAACATCCTAGTCCTCAAAGTGATTTTTAACACTTGAGAAGAACTTTTGCAGCAGATTTGCCAAAAGTAATATGATTGTTTTTGTTTTTTATTTGATTTCTTGACTGCTGCTTCCATTAGTGTTTATTGTGGATCAAAACACAATGAACTGACAACTTCAATCTTTTTCCCATTTATCTTGATGTTATTTATTAGTCCAGTTGTGAGAAAGCTTTGTTTTCTTTACACTGAGATGCAATCCAGACTGAAGGCTGTAGTCTATAGTCTTCATCACTAAGTATTTCAAGTCTTCTTCGCTGCCAGCATTTTGGGCAGGATCAAGAGATTCAATCCACCAGCCACTCCTGGGGAGGAGAAGGAGACTCTCTGCTCCCATAAGATTTACAGCCTCAGAAACTTGATATTGGGTGGCTATGAGTCAGAATCAACTCAAAGGTAATGGGGTTTGCTTCCAGCAAGCCAAGGCTGTGTCATCAGCATATGGCAGGTTACTAACGACTCTTCCTCCAATCCTGATGCCATGTTCTTCATATAATCCAGCTTTCAGATTATTTGCAAAGCATACACATTGAGTAAGTATGGCAAATGGTTACAACCCTGATGCAATCTTTCCTGACTTTAAACTACTATTTATTATCCCCTGTTCTATTCCAACAACTGCTTCTTGGCCTTTATACAAGTACAAGTTCCTCATGAGCACAATTAAGTATTCTGGGATTCCCAATCTTTGCAATGTTATCCATAGTCTGTTATGCTCCACAAAAGTGAATGCCTTTGCAGATTCAATAAAGCACATGTGTATAGCTGTTGTTTGTGTTGAAAAGCAGCGTTTCTGTCAACAAACCCATTATTTTCCAGCTACTGATCCTTTCTATTTATTTCCAACCTTCGTATACCACTAATTCTCAATGAATTTTGATTACATGTTTGATAAATTTCAGACTGAAGAAGTCAGTTGTTGTTAGGTGCCATCAAGTCGGTACCAATTCATAGCAACCCTATGTACAACAGAACAAAACACTACCCGGTTCTGGGCCAACCTCTTAATTGTTGCCACGTTTGAGCCCATTGATGCTGTCACTTTGCCAATCCATCTAACTGGGGGGGGTCTTCCTCTTTTTCTCTGACCTTCCACCTTACCAAACATGATATCCTTCTCCAGCGACTGGTAGAATGCTTTAATTTCCTCACTGGTTTTAGAGATTGGTAGGATAATAGCCACAAACCAACAAGGATAACTGTTGCTGCAAAGGAGGGGATTGTAATCACTGACATGAAACAAAGTATACAATTTGTTGTAATCACTGAGATGAAACAAAGTATACAATTTGTCGAATGTAAATTGGATGATCTGTCTGAAAATCTTCACTCAATTCACAATAAAAAGTTTAAAAATAAATAAATAAAATTGGTCGTGGTGATGGTTGTAGAACACAGTCAATACACCAAACAAAAAACTCATATCTGAATTGTACATTTAAAAAAAGGTGAAAGAGTTTTATGGTATGTGAATTAAAGCTCTCAAACTCATTAGCTGACAAACTAAGTCACTTAAAACTTTCTGAACCTGATTAAAAGGAAACATAGGGAGTTTAAATGAGTAAATCTATAGAAAGTATCTAGTACATACTGCTCAGCAAAAAAAAAAAAAAAAAAAAAAAAAAAGTTGTTACTGGAAAACTAAAATGTTTGTTTTTTTAAAGATTTCCCTAAAACACATTACAAGTTTTTCTGCATTTTCTATTAAAATTTGTCAGAGAACTAATTAGGAAGACAAAGACCAACACAGCACGAATCCAGATTCACAACTCAAAGGCTTATAGGAGCCAGATAAATTATATAAATGAACAAAATGTGACAGGAAAAATATCAGGTATGAAGCACATGCCCATTTAAAGCAAGTAGCCCAGCTGATTAATGGCATTTAGGAATGCTAGCACACTGTTCCGAAATCTTCAATTTAAAGAGAGGCTACAACGCATCCATTTGTGTGTGAAAGCTCATTTTAAACTCTTGTCTCACTCATGGGGAAAATGGAGGAACAGCGGGCAAACAAAACGCTATTTTCAACTCAAATTAGAGAAGTAACCGTTTGAAATCTCCAGCTGCCAGCCTCATAATTTACTTTCTAAACTTGAAGCTCCAGGGGGCATGTCTTTATTATATTATACCAAAGCAAAAACACATACCCACTGCCACCCAGTTGATTATGACTCACTGCGACCCTACAGGACAGAAAAGAACTACTGTTGTCTAGGATTTCTGAGACTGTCAATCTTTATGTAAGCAGACAACCTTATCTTTCTCCTGAGGAGCAGTTGGTGGGTTTGATCCACCAATCCTGCAGTTAGTAGCACAACATTCAGCTCACTGCACCACCAGGGCTCCTATTCATCATGATACACAGTCTGATTCCTAGGGCATGTCAGTGTTCCATGTTGTCAAACATGCTTTGAGACTTGCTCAGGCTAGTCCCTTTGCCTGAAAGATCCAGTTCAAGTTCTAGCCATCCTTTTAAGTCCTGCTTAAATGTCTCTCAACTTCCTCAAGAATTTCCTCTGATACACTGTCCTCTCCCTTCAATGCTCAAAGAGAATTACTTCCCTGCTGCTGTGTTTCTTGACTTCCTCCCCCAAACTTAAAACATACCTCTGTTACAGTTCAATAGTAGTGGTTACAAGTCA